CAGCGCCTCTGCTCCAGCCTTGAAGCTTCTGCCGCGTGAATACAAGCTCCGCCCCCTAAACAGAAACCTTCCTGCACGTACTCAGCTAGGCTACCAAGTGCAGGGAGGAGGTAGCGGGACATACAGTACATACAGTAAACGACACGCATTACTATAACAAAACAAAAAACTTTCTTGGAGCCCGGACCTTCCCGGCTGCATTGGCCCCTCACTCAAGTACCTGCTGAAACCCTCTGATGGCTGCGGAATTTCGATCGCGACCCCCCCCCCACTCACTTGCGCGACCCCACATGGGGTTGCGACCCACAGATTAAGAAGGTCTGGTCTGGGCTATTGGTGTTAGGTCCCATAGAGGGTACACTGCAAGCCTCCCCAGGAACTGTTAGTGGATCATAAGCTGGGAAGTCCCACAGGATCCCTTCTTTTGCACTTATGATGCACTATAATAAGTATGCAATTGGGGTCTTTCCAAAAGGGGTACTCACAAAAACACTGCAGGAGCAGGAAGAGTTAATGTGATCTGTAAATTGTCACTGGAGGCAGCAGGAAGCAGGGGGTAAACTTTCTTGAGGATTATGGTGTGGGTGTAGCTAAAGAGATGGGTGGAGAGACTGAACAGGCCTGCAAATACTACAGAATATGGTGTGTGCATGCGCAGCACAACCAACCAGAGGGAGTCTGCACAGACTCAATAGGGGTGCACATTTTAAAAATGCTTCTGTGCCTCCTGCTGCCACTGGATTGTGACTTAAAGTGTCACAGCTGGTGCTCATGAGTTAACAAGCCTTTAGGGGACTCACTGAGCAGTTTAGGCACATGCAGGCTACAAGAACAAAGCCCTGATCTCCTGCAGCGGTGGTCCTGGGATGCTTTGCTGTCCCCACCAAGAAAATTGGAAAAATATGACAGGATCCAAGGGACATGACCCATTTAACAGCCTTTGCCCTTCCAGTAAGCATACTCCCTATGGAGTCTTCAAGGACAGGGCTCCACCAGAAGGGTGAACCGTGGTTCTGGTCCTATAATGCACTCTGTGGCTGACTCACATGTTACACCATTGGTGTCTAGGTGAGTGCGTTCAGCAGATTCCAATGCTCTGAGGACACATTACAGACCATCCCATTTTCTTCCTCACAGCCTACAAGGCTGGATTAATGGTGGGAAATTCTTAATACACGACTCTTCAAATTGGTATTGGACTGCAAAATGTTTGGAAGGTAACTATTTAATGACTGGATCATACAAATGATTATTCAAAGTGGCTGTAACCACAATGAATGTGGACTTTTATGTTCCAGTAAACCTATATCACTAATTAAAGAATTGCTTCATGAGCAACTGTTCTTTTTTTGTTGGTATACTTTAGGGATGCACCGATACCAATACAAGCATCGGTATCGGCGGCGATACCGAGTATTTGCATGAGTACTCGTGCAAATACTCCAATACAAAAAACGAGTACCTGTTCCGCGTCCGCCATCTTCAGGGACCCGAAACCGCCGCACACAGGACCTCCATCACGTCTTCAGTTAAACAAGATGGCCGCGAACTCCTCCTCCAAGTCCTCAGTCATCTGCTCTATTCTGACCTCTTCTCCCGCTGATTGGCCGATTGGATGATTGACAGGCTTCCTCACCAGTCTATAATAAGTATGCAATTGGGGTCTTTCCAAAAGGGGTACTCACAAAAACACTGCAGGAGCAGGAAGAGTTAATGTGATCTGTAAATTGTCACTGGAGGCAGCAGGAAGCAGGGGGTAAACTTTCTTGAGGATTATGGTGTGGGTGTAGCTAAAGAGATGGGTGGAGAGACTGAACAGGCCTGCAAATACTACAGAATATGGTGTGTGCATGCGCAGCACAACCAACCAGAGGGAGTCTGCACAGACTCAATAGGGGTGCACATTTTAAAAATGCCTGTCAGGACTGACTGGTGAGGAAGCCTGTCATCATCCAATCGGCCAATCAGCGGGAGAAGAGGTCAGAATGGAGCAGATGGCTGGCGTGTGAGTTATGTCTGACTGGGAGGAGGAAGACAATGGACACCCTGCAAGCCAGTCATGGGCGCCCCCATCACAGCAGCGCTATGACAGCCGGGAGTCTTTTCGGTTTGGAGAACGGGCGTTGGAGTCTCGGAGCTATCGGAGGGATGAGGGCAGTTCTGCTCCGGGTCTGCCCCTGCAGATAGGCTCGGCCGGGAGTCGGAGGAGAGACCGGGGACACAGGCATCCTGGCAAGATCGGTGAGTGACAGTGTGTGTCTGTGTGTAGGAGAGACGGCTGTGTGTGCGCACAGCGATACCATCTGCATTTGTATTGCTTTAGAAAAAATGTGACATGTCCCTTTAAGAAAAAGTATCGGTAATTGGTATCGGCGAGTACTTGAAAAAAAGTATCGGTACTCGTACTCGCCCTTAAAAAAGTGGTATCGGTGCATCCCTAGTATACTTGCTTTAGGAGATTTGTTAACTTATATGCTTATAATCAGCATAACTCAAACACAGTAGTATCATCACTGCAAACAGCCTTTAATAAAATATAACCTTCAAATATAACAGTAAAAGGTCTCAGAAATACAATAAAAATATAAAGTATTTATTTCAATTGTATATTTTTGTATAATTGCTCTTATAGTTCAACAAATCTGGGGTCATGGTAACTTTAATTTAGTTTAGAGAAAAAAGCAGGGCATTTATTCTGGTTCACTATATAATGTTCTTGTCTTATGAGCAGTAACGGTTTGTGCCATGTCAGATGCTGCCACCAGTTATACAGATTGGGGGTAAGATGGCTGAATACATTTGCCATAGCATAATTTACAACAGAATACAGACCACACTTCAGACACAACTGAAAAAAAATTATTTATTTTCTGCAGCAGTATTTGCATAAAAGCTAATCAGCTGTTAATTGTATATCCGCCACTGTTGCTGCTGCCGATTTTGAATTTGCGGATGATTTTGGATGTCATAATCAAGTAGGAGTGCATTAGTACTTAAATTAAAAAAAACAAAACACACACACACACACACACACTGCTAGGAAAACCCTTAACTATAAAAATAAGCTTTTCAAATTATTACTCTCCTTCCCTGTCCACTAAGTTTCAAGTATGGATTTTTTTTGTAGTATGTATTGACACATAAGAACCAATTTACACAGTCGCATGGGTTACATAAGCTATTTTATCTTCTTATTTTTTATCAAAATATTAAGTCCACTAAAATAATGTGTTTGTTGTAAATGCGTATTTTATGCCAGAAAGTGTTATTTTATCTCCCCTGAAATTTGTTCTTTCTTTTGTTCCTCTTAACAAAACAATTTACACTTAACTACAGATAGAAGTGGTAAAGAAGCAACCCCCGCCCCCATTATAATCTTTGGAAATTTATTTTTGTGTGCAAAATATCACAAAAATGTATAATGTTTATGCAGTAAATTCAGCTGGTCCTTGTGAAAATACATTAAGTGAAGTGTAGTAATAATTTTAAAAAGAATGAGAAAAGAACACAGCAATTAACAAACTGCATGTGCTATGCTTTAGTAAGTTGAACATTAACAACGCCATGTCAGACTGGGCTAGTGTAATAAGCGGTGTGCCTCGGGGCTCTGTGCTGGGACCCATATTGTTTAACCTGTTTATTAATGACATCGAGGAGGGTGTGAATAGCCATATTTCAGTGTTTGCAGACGATACAAAAATAGGGAGGGTATTAGAAACGGAACTAGACAGTATAGCATTACAGGAGGACCTGGATAAAATAGGAGAGTTGGTGTATATATGGCAGATGAGGTTTAATGTCGATAAATGCAAAGTAATGCACTTTGGAAATAAAAATAAACAAATGAGTGTGGAAATGTTCAAGAACCTCTTGGATGATTTCCTGAGGGACCATAATATACAGGGGTACAAGTACTCCTAAGAAAGAGATGATGCGCGGACCGATATGGGTTGGACTTGATGGACTTATGTCTTTATTCAACCCCAAATACTATGTAACTATGTAACTATGTTTTATGGCTTGCATAGTTTTGTTTTAGCTAGTGCCATTTTATTAGTAAGTCAAGATTAAGAAAACAGGACTGTTTACAAAATTCTGAAACTAATGTTTTACTATAATTTTTAAATGGATAACAATTTCCATATTTAAAGGAAACCTGTGAAGTTAAATTTATGAGAGCTGATATTAATGACATGGTTTTTAATTGCACAGGATCTGTGGTTATCATCTAGATCAGGAGTTGGCAAAACTCCAGCCCTCCAGCTGTTGTGAAGGTCCCGTTAGGCATTGACTCTGACAGCCACAGGCTGAGGTTAACATATGATGGGATTTGTAATTTCACCATAGCTGGACGGCCGGAATTTGCCTACCCAGGATCTAGACCTTTGTTTCACCATCTAGTGAGTCACTGAAGTACAACCAGAGCAGGAGGTTAGAATTTCCAAACTTCACTTATATTTATTTTGTTTGTTTTTAAGGTCAGTGACTCACTGGAAAGAACACCAGATTCAGATTGACAGCAATGGATCTTGCACCTTTAAAAACCATGTAGGCAGTGACAGCTCCTATTTGTCTTCCCTTACATGCTTGCTTTAAAGATGTCCCAGATCACTTCTTGCTAATAGGTTTCTCCCTGAGCTCATGGGGCAACTCTTCTAAAAGTTGTGTAATTGTCCTTTTCTCTGTGCTATATCTTAGCCGGTATTTCACCTTTTTTCATGAGTTGGCCTACTTTTCCCTACTGTTTGCACTTCACTTTGAGGACTTTTATAACTGGAAATAAAACAAGACAGAATAAGCAAAAATATGTAAGGGCGACTAATGAGCAATTAAAAAATAATACAAATATTGTTTTTACCAAAGTATATAAATACCCCCCAGGGCCTACTGTCCATATTATGAATATATATATATATATATATATATTACACACACACATATATATCAGCTTACACATACGAATTCTGCAGTTTCCAAGACAAAGAGCAAACAATAAATTGTTAGTGGCTTCTGTTCTGTTCGGTTCTGGGCCTTCTTACAGTTGCACAGCAGGTCTTCTATGAACAGGTCACGTAAGGGGTGTGGCAGTCATTTTCCACAGTTCCTGTCAAACAAAAATAAAAAAAGGTTTAGCTTGTATGTTAAAATTCATTGTTGTACTTGACAATCGTCTTCTTGTTCTAATGGTTACTTACCTTTCACGCTCCAGTAACAGTACCTTTTCTTTTTCCTGCTGGTTTTATCCCTTGTCTGTGATGCATCAAGTCACTGTATCCTAAACTTGAGTGTCACTGGTCAAGCATACAGTTCAATTGCTCCTCTGAGCTACTGAAGCTATTTGCCCATAACATTCACAACAAGAAATTTCCATTACCTCTTAAACTAGGTCCTTGATGGTGGAGAACCCCTATAAGAGGGGGAGGGGAGAGTCATGGTAGAATCTGATTGGCTGCCATGGGCAACTGCGCCAGATTCTCCCTGCTCCAGTTTTGATTAATTCCCCTCCAGACATTTTAAGAATGGAGGATAGTGAGGAGGGGTGTGTGATGTGACCTGAGCGACAGGGACGTGCGGTCAGGGGAGGCAGAGCCTCACCTAGTATTATGGGGGAAAAAGCTGTCAGCCTCAAGTCTGAAGCGGAAAGCTTTTTCTCCATTCAGATCAGCATCTAACAGGTTACACAGCAGGGAAATCCTCCCCACTAGGTAATGCCTCACCTAGCAGGAAACTTAATGCACGTCTCTGCTAAGTAATCTACTGCTTGAGTTGCATTTCTCCCTCTTTTCATTGCCTGGAAGCTGGGCCCAGTGCAGTGTATGTATTATCATTTTGCCCAAAGTGTGGCTTTACATTTTGTAAGATTATAATTACAATAAGGAGAGTGAATGCAAGTCAAAACTGATGGGCGAATCCCATTACATCTCATTTGGGTGAATGCCTAACAAGACATCCAGGGAACATTCAAAGGTCATCAATGGCAGACCCTAAAATAATTCTCCCACTACAGGTATACCTAAAAGCAGACATAAACTCCAGAAACTGTGCTAAACCAGGGAGCATGGAGCTGGCTTCACGGCCAATCAGGAAGTTGGGGGGCGTTTAATGCACCGCCCCCTGGCTTCCTGATTGGCTGGGAAGCCGGCTCCACGCTCCCTCCTGGTGATGAGAGATCATGGAGCCGGCTTACCGGCCAATCAGGAAGCTGTGCGGCATGTAATGACTCCCCGCCCAGCTTCCTGATTGGTCGGGAATATGGGTAATCAGGAAGCCGGGCGGCGAGTCATTACACGCTGCTGGACTTCCTAAATGGGACTTCTGGTATCGGTGAGTACCGAAAAAAAAACATTGGTACTCGATAGCGAAAAAAAACAGTATAGGTGCATCCCTATTTTTTTGTTATATAACAGAGATTTTGGAAGATAAATAGCTAAGGTTTGGCAGACAAACATCACAATCATGGCAGTCTGTAATGCAGGGCCTGTCAGTAAAAACAAAGTTTAAGAGTGACTCTAGCCATTTGTCTACAGAATCCTTAAAGGAGAACTATGAGGTTAATGCTTTTCCCCATAGTTCTCCTAAGGGTAACGGGAGGACACAAACTAGCGTCCTCCCGTCACCCTAGGCTCAGTATACCGCGAGCTGTAGCTCGCAGTATACTGAGACGCCGCAGCTGAAGCGGATCCCGACAATTGTGCCGGGATCCGCCCAGCTGTGTGACTGACACCTGTCTCTGCCTATCTAAAGGCAGAGCCAGCTGTACCCGCCCCCTTCCCGTCCGCTCCGCCAGTCAGCGCTGGTGGATCGGAGCCTTGGGGGGGGAATCCAGCCCTTCCCCTGTCACGGCAGAGAGCCGTGACAGGATGGAGAGGTGAGCGAATGCCGGTATGTGTTCGCTCACCTCCCGATCTACTGAGCCGACCTGTGACAGTCTCATTGTCACAGGTCGGCTAGAACTATGAGGTGAGTGAAAATCACTCACCTCATAGTTCTCCTTTAATTCCTTAAATCCTGGTGCAATCTATAGAGGGATCGACAGCGCTTTATTAAGATGGGACACTGCCGGATCTAATGTAGGAACAGTTCACCTCTTAAAAAAGGCCTCCTCAAATGGGTATTAGTTTGCAAAATGTTTTGGAGGTATAAACAGTTTATCTGGAGTTTTCCAGTCAGCATAAAAAAAACAATTATGTGCATTGGTGTTGTTTTTGTGTAAATTGTTTAACTACTTGAGGTCCGCCCATTGTAAATAAACGAATGGACAGCAAGCTCCTTCCAGCGGGGCACCATAAATATACGGCTTTTTTTCTGGTTGCACGCACCCCCTAGCGAACGCACGGACAGAGCACGTTCGCAAGTGTAAACAGCCAGTAACAGCTGTTACATACAAGAGTTTGGGCGGCTCCATAGCCGTCCAATCACTTGATTGTGCCCAGCAGTGTGCGGCCCCCCTCCTTCAGCGCTGCCCTCCATGTAGAAGTAGTGTGTATTACATCACTTCTGCATTCAGTTGTCATTTCTCTGGCTGCTATAGCCAGAGAAGAAGATGATGAAGCAGATCTGTGCTTCATCAGCTTCTTTGGGGGTCCATAGGTAACATTAGGGGTCTTAGAGACCCCTGGTGTCTCCATAAAGAGGACCTGTGAGTGTGCCTGTGCTATCACAAAGGGGATTGTTAGCCCCCTATGTGATAGCAATAACATTAAGTGCAACTTTTTTTTTTTTGTAAAAGTCCCTTCCCCCATGTATACGCACATAGTTACATAGTTAGTCAGGTTGAAAGACACAAGCCCATCGAGTTCAACCTATAGACATACAGAGAAAAAAATAAAAAAGAAGAAAAGCCTAAACAGAACGCTATGCCTCCAATTACCCAATGTTGAACCAGAGGAAGGCAAAAAACCCCTATAAAGCACAGTTCAATTTGCTCAAACAGGGGGAAAAAAAATCCTTCCTGATCCCATAAGGCATATATGTCAAACCCAAGGCCCCTGGGCCAGGACCGGCCCGCGATGTCATTATCTTCGGCTCGTCCACACTCAGGGCCGTAGGAAGGGCGAGGCGGCCTCACTCGCCTCGTGCGGAGGCTGGGTGGGGGCGCAGCCAGGACCCTGGTATTCCGCCAGTTTGGGGGGGTGCGCCGTGGCCGGCGATCTTCATGGGACTGAGGAGAGCTGCAGCCGGCCAGAGAACTGCATTACCCAGCAGGCAGCCTGGCAGTGGCACAGCGCTACAAGGGAGGTGTGGCCGTAAGGTCACTGATGGGGGTCCCGAGGTCCAGTCCCGCAGACGTGAGGTGCTCTCTGTATCAGCATCCAACACAGACGACAGAGAGCTGCAGCCTGCAGGTACTGTGCTGTGACACTGTCAGTCAGCATATCACTCCCCTTCTTCTCCATGACCTCTTCTGTACTATTTGTGCTTTCAGCCTCTGGAACGCACTGGAACACAACCCAGCTGGCTCAGTTTGTTGTAGGGCGGGAGGGGGCATGGGCGACACATTGAAATCAATAGCACTGCAGCTATGCCCCCCGCCCGCAGTGTGATCGCTGGCACCCGAACGCATGGCACATTTGTGCATGCGTTCCGGTCCAGTGCTATCTGCAAAAATGCTGCATGCACTACTTTTTGCAGATCGCACTGAACCAGAACGCAAAACTAATGTGCCACGCATTTGGGTGCTGGCGATCTTAATGTTTGCGGTGCCATTAACTTCAATGCTCCGCCATGCTCCCTCCTGCCCCAAAACAAAGTGAACTGGCCGGGTTGCGTTCTAGTGCGTTTCAGAGGCCAAACAAACTGGAACGTACTCTTTATGGTGTGACTGGGCTCTCAGGCTCAAGCACTGCCTTTGTGCGCAGTGTGTCATGTAATTTTCTCTCCGGCACGTCAGCTTGCAAGAGTGCACATAGCTGAGCGTGCCGAGATGAAAAATGGAATCTTGAGCCAATCAGCTCGCGTTTATAAACCCGCACGTCAAGATGCGAAGACCATTCGGTTGTTACGCGCGAGCCAATTGGCTGAAGATGCCATCTTTCATCTGACTGCAGCTCACACACTGCATGCAAAGCTCATGACAGCTTTGCTTCACTCTGCACTGCTTCACATGCAGTGTGTCACGGGGTTAATACTACGCCCCATATCAAGCACTTTGGGAAGGAGCTGTGGAGCATCAGCCTGCTGGGAGCTGTAGTCCCAGGAGGCAAAGTCAGTGCCTTAGTGGTTAATGGGGCCCTCTTCCTCCTGTCCAGGCCCACCCAAGTGGTGGAACTCCAGGGCCCAGTCACACCTGTGACTCTATTAGTTCCGCCACTTGGGGGGCACTGACAGGAGGAAGAGGGCCCCATTAACCACTAAGGCACTGACATTGCCTCCTGGGTCTACAGCTCCCAGCAGGCTGATGCTCCACAGCTCCTTCCCAAAGTGCTTGATATGGGGCGTAGTTTAAGCCTGTGACACACTGCATGTGTCATGGGCTTAATACTACGGAAAGGGGAGGAAAGGGGCCCCATTAACCAGCAAGCCACTGACATTGTATCCTTGGACTACAGCTCCCAGCATGCAGCAGACCAACATGCCACAGCTCCCTCCCGCAGTGATTGATACTCATGCCAGGGGCAGAACTACCAGGGTCGCAGCGGCCGCACAGGGAGCCCCCACTGAACTCCTGAGAGCCCGCACTGACCACCTCAAAAAAACATCGGGGGGGGGCACAATTTTCTGTTCTTGCCTCGGGCACAAAAGAAGCTAGCTAAAGCTATGCCCACAGTACCGAAAGCGGTCCCTAGGATTGTCGTCCCCTCCGCGCGGGCCTACCGCGTCATTCCCGTGTCATAAAGATGGCCGCCGATCGCCGGTGGCCATCTTTAAAGTTGGAAGTGCCCTGTGGCTTCTGTAGGAAAGGCCCGCGGCTGTCCCTGCCTTGCCAGACCTCGGAGCAGGGATGAAGAGCTTATGGGGCCTGCGCAATGAGGAGAGAAAGCAGGGGAAGAATCCACAGAAGCGGGCACCAGATGGAAAAACTTTTTTTGTAAGTAAATTATTTTGCTGTACTATTTAATGTCTGTTTTTGGCTTTTATTATTTATATATTTAGGCTATTTCTTAA